CCGTCATGTCGGCAAACGATGCGTGGCCGTCGCCCAAGATGCGCGTCTGCGTCACGTTGGCGTTCTGCACCGTGATGGCTTGGACGCGGTCGATGAGAAGGAGCGCAGCGTCAATGTTGCCAGCCGCCGCCAGCGCCGCCGCGTCGAGCAGCAAGTCCGTGTTCTTGGCCATGGCCGACACCACGACCGCGATCACGCGACCGCGCTCGGCCTTGACCAGTGACACGAGCTGGAACAAGCGGTCCGGCGACCCCACCGAGGTGCCACCAAACTTGTAGACGTTCCGCGTGCCGCGCGCGTGGTCGAGGGCTGGCGAAGCGAGGTCCAGCGGCGGCAGCGCGTCGGCCGACGGTGGCCATGGCATCGCGATCGACGCGGACGGCGACGTGAACCCAAACATCTTATTGCGTTGTTGTTCCTATGAGATCTGAGCTTGAAGTTGCCATGCATGCGAATGTGCAAACTCGCGTATCTTGGTGCGCGCCAACCCCTTTTATTCATAGGTATATATTAATCAAGTGCGAGAGAGATAACGAAAAAAAATAGCCGTTCCCCATTTTCATTTCGGACAAAACGGTGCGTCAAAGTAGGACTAGAATCCTATTTAGGATAGAAAGGCCTCGCATCGATCAGCAGCCCTCACAAGACTGTAGCGATGTACAGTATTTCACGGCGAGAGCAGCTATAATAGATTCAGCAATGCTCAGGCGAACCAAACGCAAGTCAACGCGGCAGAGCGATGAGGGGAACTGCGGCAGAGCGATGAGGGCAACTGCGGTAGAGGTCCCAAGTGCTAGGGTGCATACGATGCCAAGCTTGAGGCGTGCGAGCTAATAAGCCGGCACGTGCTCCCATGCAACTTTAGTTCTCGAGGCAACGATGTTTCCGATGGCTCACTAGCTTCAGGCCGCGGTTCTAGTCCGCCAACGGCCGGGAAATACTATGGCCATGCCACGACGCTCCGAATGGCGCAAATGCAAGCGCAAAGATGCAGCGTGCAATCGACAGGCATACGACCAGCAGCGTCAAGCCGCCGTATAACAGCTCCTACAGGCGGTCAAAGTGCGTGTGCAGGACGAGACGAGCGCCCGGATGCTTGCGATGCAGCGCAACATCTTTCAGACCTTTCAGATCAAAGATTTACAGGTCAGCGCACCGGGGTGCGTTGTCGAGCCCACGGTCAAGATCGCAACATTTGATGCGACAGTAGTGTGCACCGCGAGTGGTTTGATGCTTACGATCGAGGTCATCGCAGAAACCTTCTCGCCGTTCCCGTCGTCCAAGCTCTTGATGCTCTACCGGTCGCTCGAGCTACGCGAGCTGTCCTGGGTCACCCGACGAATAACCCACTACGACTAGGCGCTGGCCAATTTTACACGCAGCCCTCTTCGTACTCAGCTTTTTTTGCGAGACGCAATCGACAGGTGCAGAAGATGTCGTCGTTATTAAAAAAAGTTAACAAGATGATGGGTTAGGCCAAGTGAAAGGCAGCGCCGTAGCCCGCCGGTGTCTCGGCCTTGGGCGGTCGCACGACGTGGACCTCGAACCCGCAGTCCTCGATCGCACTGCAGAGCGCTTTGGTCGTCGCCGTGCCCGAGACGTAAGCGCACTTTTCGGTAAAGCCAATAAAGACACGGTGCACGCCCGGAACGGTCTCGAGCGCGTTCTGGACCGTGTTGCCGCAGTTTTGCATGCACATCATGCCTCCGATCGAGAGCACGGTGAGCGAGTCCGTGTCGTCAAAGCGCCACGCAGCGGGCACCATGCCCGACGACTTGCCGCTGAGCGTCTTGTCGCTTTTAAAGAGCGCAAAGCCAACGCCAAAGCCCAAAATCAAAGCGAGAAAGAGTCCCGTGTCGTAGATCATGACGACGAGCATGGCGAAATACGCCAGCGTCATTTGCACCATGTAGAGCAGCGTCAGCACGAGTTTGCGGCTGCGCTTGCCCAGACTGCTGTAGCGGCTACAGCGGAGTATTCAAGTTTCGACCTCTCGAAAGGGTAAGGTACTGCACCTGCTACGGGCCTTGAGAAAGGCCATGCGCACCGCCTCGCGGGTGTGGACGAGGTATTCGTTGGCGAGCGGGAGGAGAAAGATGCCCGTGAAGGCCAGCGCGTACTTGAACGGCGTGTCGAGCACCCACGACTGGAAGAAGAGCTTGACGCACGTGCCATGGACCGTCGATTGAAACCCCGAGAGCATGACCGACGCGCCCGTGCAAAACGGCGCGGCCGGCACGGCGTCGGCTGGTAACTGGAACGCATCTGGGCAGGTGCGCCCGCCGCACATGACGTTCTGCACGCCAAAGTACTAGACTCGCATGAGCACATGAAGGTAGAGAGACCAAGGACGCACAGGCTGCGACGGAAGGGCCGCGGCGAACGCCGACTTGGTTGTCTCCGAAGCAAAGTACAGCTTCTGGCCGCGGGCAAGGCAGAGAAAGCGAGCATTGTCACTGGTAATGGCGGCGCCCGAGACCGGGTCGAGAAGCGTCGTGTTGCTGTTGCAGTCGGCGCAGCCCGCCACGCACTGCGTCGC